TTAACGTTGAGGATCCTGAGTAATATGTCCTAAAAGACTGGGGAAAGAATTGTGGTTCCAATTTTTTCACCTTTGTGTCTCTAAAGTAAGGTAGTAGAAATGAGGAAGGGAGGAGAGAAGATAGAAGCTATTAGCAATACGTAGCATCTGTTGTGAAATGGAGCTATTATATTATTTTGACACTATCTTTCTGATTTCATAGGAAAGGTTACTTGGGTGTCCAAGTGCTAAATTTTCATATCTGATTCTCATATAAACTGAGCCTTTGGAACACTGAACTTACACTGAGCTAATGCAGATTTCTAGTTTCCATAGCAGCAAATCTACTGCTTGTGCTAATAAGTGAAAACTAGAGCAAGCAATTGCTACTTGCCTCTTTTTTTTTTTTAAAGACCTAGGTCTCTTTATTATTTTTAAGAGCAAAAATGCTAGGGCTAGGGTGAAAACTTCCTACTCTCTCCAAAAAAAAAAAAATCTGTTAAATGAACCTGGCCTCATCCAGAGGAAGTAATAGACCATATTAGTAGGCTGGGAGCTTGGTGTTTAATCCTGTTTTCCTAATTAAATGGTAAACGATTTTTTATAAGCTATAGTCAAAGAGGTTAGGTTTCTCTCCTCTAGGGTTATGACGATGAGCAGTTTGTTTGGGGTTTACAGTAATGAATATTTTGATTGTTTGCTGATGAGTTGGCATTTGTATTGCCTGGCACAGCACCCAGGACCTGTTACAGTTGGTTTTAGTCTTTTAACAGAAATGACAGTGTGGTATCTTCCTCATTTTCCTTCCCCCTATTTCACCTTATCACCCTCCAAACTCACACCTCTCTGCAAAGGCATATTTTTTTTTTTTTAGCGAAGGAAAGTCCAACAAAGTCCATCATCCATTCAGCTATAGGGAGAAAAGTCATGGACATTTTTTCTATTGGAGAGTCCACCTACTTTTTTTTGTTTAAGATCATTTCAACCAAGCTTTTAAAAGGACAGAGACAACTGTGGGATATATGGTAAGGGAGGGCAGCTGGCAAGTAAATCAAGCCTAAAGTTCCTGAGCTGCTTAGCCTAGAGAAGATGTAGGAGGTACAGGATGGCTCTCTTTAATTATCTGAAGGGTTGTCGGGGGCTGAGGCATTAGATGTGTTCTGCTTAGTCCCAGAGTACCAACCTAGGAATGGTGGGTGCCAGTGCAGAGAGGTGAATTCTAGCTCTGAGCAAGGCAAAAATTCATGACAGAGCTTTTTAAACACGAAGTAAAGGGTTTTCCTTGGGAAGCAGTGGTTTTGCCCTCATGAAAGATCTACAAGCAATGCCTGGATGAACACTTATTAGATCTCATTAGAGGGGGATCCATTACAGGTGTAAATTGAATTAAGTGACAGTAAAGTCCCTACCAATCCTAAGATCCTATGATTCTGTGACATTGGTGGCCCTATGAGCAGGTAGATGGTACAGTCACCTGGAGTCAGAAAGACTCATCTTCCTGAGTTCAGACACTTACTAGCTGTATGATCCTGAGTAAGTCACTTAACCCTGTTTGCCTCAGTTTCTTCATTTGTAAAATGAGCCAGAGAAGGAAATGGCAAACCACTCCAGTATCTTTACCAAGAAAATCCCAAAAGGGGTCACAAAGAGTCAGATATGACTGAACAACAATAACAGGAGCAGGTTTGCCAAATCAGATTCTCTTCCCTCTTAATGAGGCATCTAGATGGCACAATAGATAGAGTCCTGCACCCTTGTGACCCTGGGCAAGTCACTTAATCTCTCTGTGCCTCAGCTGCAATTGGGGATAACAATAGCCCCTACCTCCCAGAGTCATAGTGAGATTCAAGTGAGATTACATGTACAATGCTTTTCAGACTTTAAAGTGATCTATAGATGCTAGTTATGATGATAATCATGATCATGCTGAACTTTTATGATTAATGGAGATGTTTTACTCGTTTAGTCAGTTTGACTATATAAGCTATTAGATTCATCTATTAAATTAGAAGAGTGACTTTATTCAAACACCAGGAAAAATGAGAATAATGTTGCCGATAGAATTCCCATAGAATAAACATCACTATTAGGACATTGGTTTGGGATCCAAATCTGTTTTGTTGTTCTGTTTTTAATGATTTATTTATTTTTTTCTTTTTTAAATTAATTTATTTTGATTTATCAACACTCACTTCCATAAGCTTTTAAGTTTTAAATTTTTCTCTCCCTTCCTCCCCACCTCCCTCTCCAAGACGGCATGCAATTTGATATAGGCTATACATACACATTCCTATTAAACATTTTCTCATCAGTGATGTTGTAAGGAAGAATTAGAACCAATAGGAGGAACCACAAGAAAGAGGAAACAAAACAAACCAGAAGAAAAAAATAGCAAATAGTATGCTTCAATCTGCATTCAAGCTCCATAGTTCTTTCTTTGGATGTGGATAGACCTTTGGAGATGTCATAGATCCTTGTATTGCTGAGAAGGGTTAAGTCTGTCAACGTTAGTCATCGTACAACCTGGCTGTTACTGTGTACAGTGTTCTACTGGTTCTGCTCACTTCACTCAGCATCAGTCTATTTTTTATGTTTTTAATGATTGATTTGTTAAAAGAAAGGATATGGTTTTGGTGAACTTGGTTTCACAGACTGAATGTCTAACTCATAACTCAGGAACAGAAACTTCTGGTGTAAAGAAAGCACCAGAACAGGAGACAGGAGATGCAGAATGAGTGTAGGGGAGGATTTGGGAGGAGTTCCCAAGTAAAGGGGAATCTATAGTGTAGCATCATAAATCAGAAGGTCCTGAGACAGCATATGGGATTACAGAACCAGGTTTTAGGAAATACTTTGGACAAAGGGTGCTTGAATTACCAAGTACCTGCCAAAGGGCAGAAAAAATATCTCACAAAAAGAAATTCAGTAGCATACCAAGACCAAAGGAAATGAAAACGCATATGAGTGGAAAATTCTGATCCAAAAGGATTAGCATTTCCTAGTGGTTTGTTTCATGTAAGTCACTGTCCCTTCAAATTGTCAACTAACCCATCTATAAAATGGGTACATTAATAATGACATATTATGATGGTCTTCTGAAGAGAACAGCAAATGAAAATAATTGTAAAGAGTCTGGTTAATTATAGGGTGCTATTTTATTTAGGAAGTGTAGCCTAATGGGTAGAAGGTTGGCCTGGGAGTTTAGATAAATTGGCTTCAAATCCCACCTTAGATACATACTGTCTGTGTGGTACCCTGGTGAAGTCATTTAATTACTTTAAGTAATTACTGATTACCTTGTATCTCCTATGTGTATAAACTGTGAGTATCTAGTTATTTACATGCCGTTTCCCCTTTTAGTATGTATATTCCTTGATGGCAGGGGCAACTTTTTGCCTTTTTTTTGTATTTTTAGCACTTAGGGGAAGGAGGGGAAAAATAAACATTTATCAGGCACCCACTACATGCGAGGCACTAAACACTTTACAAATATATCATTTAATCCTCATAACAACCCTTTGAAGTAGGTGCTATTATTATCCCCATTTTACAAATGAGGAAATTGAAGCAGAGGTTAAGTGAGTTGCTCAGGGTCACACAGCTAGTAAGTTTCTGAGGCTGGATTTGAGCTCAGGTCTTCCTGACTTCCTTATCAATCTGGAAGACTGCCTGACTATTCATTGTCGTGGCATCTCTTTAAGACACGGTGTTTTCTTTTTTAAATAATTTAATTTTTTTCTAATAAAATTTATTTCTCTCTCTTCTACCTTTCCCCCATTGGGGGTGGGTGGAAGACAAACCAAAAGCTCATAACAAATATGTACAGTAAAGCAAAACAAATCCCCACATTGTCTATGCCAAAAAAGAAAACCCATCTATTGCTGTCCATACCCTAAATTCATCACCTCTTTGTCAGGGGTGGGTAAGATATTTGATCATTGGTCCTATGGAATCATGGTTGGTCACCTCGTTGATCAAAGTTCTTATTTCATTAAAGTTGTGTGTCTTTGTAGTGTTATTATTGTTATATAAACTGTTTGGTTTCTGCTTATTTCATTCTGCATCAGTTCATGGGTCTTCCCAGGTTTCTCTGAAATAGACCCTTTCATCATTTCTCATGGAACAATAATATTCCATAACATCCATATACTATAATTTGTTTAACCATTCACCAATTGATAGGTACCTCCTTAGATTCCAGTTCTTTGTCCATACAGAAAGATCTGCCACAAATATTTTTGTACACATGGGGCTTTTCCCTCTCTCTTCAGTCTCTTCGGATACTAGATGAATCCATTATGACATCTTGACCTAGGCATTGTAGGGTCTGTTTATTTTTCTATTTATTTTTTTTATTATAGGCCTAGCAGAATTATCACTGGTTTAAAATATATGTATGCATAGTCAGATGATTGGAGTGGGGGAGGGAGGGGTCAAAGAACATTGAGTTTGACATCAGAACACTTGGGTTCAATTTATACCAATCACTTAATAGCTATGTAACTGGGCAAGTCAGTTATGGATCTAGTTAAGTTATTGTTCCACTTTCAGCTTACCTGTCTCTTTCACACCTATTAGTATAAGATGTTGGTTATTAATCTGAAAACTTTTGAATTTTTTAAAAAATATTTTGATAATTTTATTTCAACTTAATTGATTGCTTTTTTTTTTAACAAATCCTATTTGTTATGTATTTATTTTGAGAAGGGGCCCATAACACTTTGCCAAACTTCCATAGAGGTCCATGACACCAAAAAAGGTTAAGAACCCCCTTCTTTAAGATCGTAAGTTGCAGAACTATTGCCAACCTGCGCTGGTCAAGGGAATTTCTTCACCAGGAGCTCCCTGCCCCAATGAGGTCATACATCTGGACTTAATGAATTAAAATGTTTAGTCCTCCTAAGTGGCTGTGATTTTGAACCTCAAGGTCTACCCCATTACCTGTCTTCTGTCATTGCCAGTCTATTGAGAATGGTTTGCTCATGCCTTTCTTGTTTTTTTTTTCTTTTCATATATTTCAGGAATAGAACTTTGTCCTCCTGGACATCGGTTCATGATCACGATGGTGGCAAGCTTCATAGCTATGGCAGGACAGTTCCTCATGCCAGGCTTGGCAGCCCTCTGTAGGGATTGGCAGGTCCTCCAGGCTCTCATCATCTGCCCTTTCCTCCTGATGCTTCTCTACTGGTCGTAAGTATTAATTTCTCTCTTTCCAGGGGACAATACCAAATTCCTTTGGGGTAAGGGAAGGAGGGTTAAAAAGACCAGATTCACTTCTCTGGTTTGGAGATGAATATAATATCAACTAACACTGAATATCAACCCAATTTAATAAACATTTATTAAATGCCTACTGTGTGGAAGACACAATACACTTTTGTTGAGTGTCCATCACCTGGTATTGGACACAGTCCACAATCATTGCGTGGCATAAGGTAGTAGTGTCAAACTCAATAGAAATGGGGGCCACTCCAGTTTTCATATTGACTTAGAAAACTACATATTAATATTATCTGTGTTCTATTGTATTTTTATTTATTTTAAATATTTCCCAATTACATTTTAATCTGATTTGACTGCATTGGAGAGTGTTGCAGGCAACATGTTTTGATGCTCTTAAAGAACTTAGGATTTCTCACTAATTTCTGTATTTTGACAGTTTTAAGGGGGATTCAAATGTTTGAAGGGGAAATAGGAAGTGGTAAGGAAACAAGCTTTGATGGTGGGAAATCCCTTTTAGTTAGTAGATGAGTCTATTATACCTTGCGCTGGGCTTTGTGGAGTCTTTTTTTTTTATTACTTATTATTTCATTCATATATATACTTTCACTCTTTGGCCTGCTATTTTTTTGTTTCATTTTGATTCCACTTACCATTTTCAGTGAAGTGAGAAATAGAGGTTGGAGGGGGGCGGATTATTTCATCTTCCTCTTACTCTCCTTATTCTCCATCCCCTTTACTTTTTATCTCCCCTTTTCCTCTATACTCTATTTAATTCTACTTTTTAATCACTAATTTAAAAAAATCTCCAGAGGGTATTAGTTGGTTATGCCTGTATTTTATTTGCTGGAGATGAGAGTCTGCCTTTTCTAAAAGTGAGGGTCTAGAGGAGAGAAGGACCAGGTTTTATTTATTTTTATTTAGCACTACTTGTATTTTGTTTTTCAATCATTGGATGAGCTAGAAAAGGAGATCATAGTAAGCTAGAGTAGAGATGTTTTTTTCCTCAAGAGCCTGATTCTTCCTTACTATATAATAAGCAACCTCAGCAACAGTGGGAAGCCAGTAATAGGGGGGTGGGGGTGCAGATGGGCCACCAGCTGGGGAGGTTGTTCAGCAGCAGCTGCTGCTATAATGTTCTAATCTCCTTGGAGGCTCCCCTCTCTACCCCTTTCCCCACAGACCAAGAAACTGTGCTATGTCTGTACCGTTCTCTCAAAGACTGTGTGCCCCTCCCCACATCCTACTAAGCATATTTCAGAGACCATTCTTCCTTCCCTAAGTAGTATGAGTTTTTGTAGCAGGGAACTCTTGACCACATAAAATACTCTTCTAACTTTGACTTGATAAAGTTTATATCCTATTTATGTTTCTCACGTCTTGCTTTCAAATACACACAAGTGCAGACACACACTCAGGCTGATTGGAGGGTGTATAAAGAGTTCAGTAAGCCTTTCAGCCCCGAGTGCCACTAACACTAAGGGCTAGAAAGCAACCAAATAGAAACAGACTAGAAAGGAAGAGAAGAACAACCCAAATATAGTGGTAAATACCATTACCAATTACTTCAGGGACTAAATGTAACTGTGCCGGCTCCTGAGTTACAGACTTTATTTGCTTTGTTCCCCTTACATTTATTTATAAGACACCAGGCCCAGTAGACCACCTGATCTACCACAGAGCAGAAGGTTAATGGGAGATGATCTTTTCCTGGCAATTTGAAAAAGGTCTTAACAGGGCATCATAAGACCATGGGATCTTCCATGTACAAAAATATTCATAGCAGCTCTTTTTGTGGTGGCAAAGAATTGGAAATTGAGAGGATGCCCATCAGCTGGGGAATGGCTGAGCAAGTTGTGGTATATGAATGTGATGGAATACTATTGTGCTATAAGAAATGATGAACAGGCTGACTTCAGAAAAACCTGGAAAGACTTATATGGTCTGATGATGAGTGAAGTGAGCAGAACCAAGAGGACTTTGTACACAATAATAGCCACATTATGCGATGACTAGTATTGTTAAACTGAACCCTTCTCAGCATTACAAGGATCTAAGACATCTCCAGAGGCCTCGGAATGGAAAATGCTGTCCACATCCAAAGAAAGAACTATGGAAGTCAAATCGCTATCACTTATTTTTACGTTCTGTTGAGTTTTGTTTCATCTTTCTGATGGTTCCTCCTATTGGTTTTAATTTTTACTTACAACTTCACTAATGTGAAAATATGTTTAATGGCTATGTAAATGTAAAGCCTATATCAGATTGTTCACTGTCTTGGGAACGGTGGGGGGGAGGAAGAGGGAGAAAAATTTTCAACTCAAAAGCATATGGAAGTGATTGTTGATAAATCAAAATAAATTAATGAAATTAAAAAAAAAGAAAGACCATGGGATCTTATAAGTCATCTCATTTTACAGATGAGGAAACTGAGGCCCTGAAAGATTAAGTAATTTGTCCAAGATCACAGAGGGAATAAGTGGTAGAGCTGGGAAGAGGAATTCTCCAAGAATATCATTGCATCTGCATCTTATTCTAGCTCACCTGATGTACCTTATGCTAATTCTTCGGTCTCCAAGAACCAACAATTATGCGTATAGCTTTGTGGGTTGTCAACAAGGTGCATGTAAACCACTAGTGGTTGCTGTCCCTTTTGAGCCCTGAAATGTGACAGATACTATAAAGATGTGACAAGTACTGTATCTGTCTATGTACATATGTATCTATCTATCTGTCATTACTCTATCCCAAATGAACTGATTTTTGCAGGTGGCCAGGTAGGTGGTACAATGGATAGAGCGCCAGGCCTGAAGTCAGGAAGGCTCATCTTCATGAGCTCAAATCTGGCCTCAGACACTTAGTAGCTGTGTGACCCTGGGCAAGTCACTTCACCCTGTTTGCCTTAGTTTCCTCATCTGTAAAATGAGCTTGAGAAGGAAATGGCAAACCTCTCCAATATCTTTGCCAAGAAATCCCAGATGGGGCCATGAAGAGTCAGACGTGACTGAGATGATGGAAAAGCAACAACAAATCCCTCAGTGGACTAGAAACTAGTCTTATTGGCTAATGGACCTGGATGGTCCCTCCTCTTCTTTTCATCAGTTTTAGGCATAGAAGGAAAACTGGCCTACCCAAATACAGGAGAAGTAATGGGAATGAGACTTAAGTGACCCACCCTAGTTTGCTGTAGGTGAATCAGTCAGCTACCCAGATTAAGAGCTGTGCCTTATGTGTCTTAACTCAGCCTGTGCCTCATGCTCCTGAGTCTCCCATGCCTCACACTTAAGGAACATTTGTTCTTTGCTCTCTCATTTTTAAAATGTTGATGACATACCATATGGATATTCGTTCAGATTGAAACTTTTACTTTAATTCCTTGAAATATTCATGTCTTGGGCAATTAGGTAGCACAGTGGATAGAGCACCGGCCCTGGAGTCAGGAGGACCTGAGTTCAAATCCGGATTCAGACACATAACACTTACAGGCTATGTGTGATGTGTGACTCTGGGCAAGTCATTTAACCCCAATTGTCTGGGGAGGAAAAAAGAAGAAGAAATATTCATGTCTCATCAATGTGGGTCCCTACATCAATGTTTCATAAAATATCATGGCTGAAAAATTGTCATCAGAGAGCTCACCTTTTGGTGATAGACCACTTTGTATTCAACTAAGCCAATCATTGGACATCTGTCACTAGGCTAGTGGTCGAAACCTTTTCAATTTGATAATGACAAATCTTTGCTACAAGAGTCCAGGGTTTCTGCCACACCAAAATGAGACATTGGCACATTAAGATAACATTTTTTCTAGTTTCAAACTCCATTCTAACATAAGAACCCTCTTTGGTGGTGAAAAATTGTATTGATATACATATCTCTTTCCAGGAAGGGGGTGGGAAGGGCAAGCTAAAGAGCAAGAGTGAACAATTTCATACCCAGATACAAACTACTACTTATCCATTTTCGAGGGCCTTGGTAACTAAAAGAACAGTTGACCTGTAAAAGCTACAATGGTCCTCCTTTCTTTTCATTTTTCTAATGACCATCCTTCTTTCTATTTGCTACAATTAGCATTTTCTCATTCCTAAAGGCTTCTGTGTTACTTAATGGTACAAAGTGGTCTCCTAGAGAGGCTCTGGAGTGCCAACCAACACTGCCAGCTGTTGGTGGCAAAATATTGAGAGTGTATGGCCTCCGTTTAATCAACAAGTATTCATTGCATGCCCATGGTGCCCAGCAGTGTACCTGGTACTTCAAGTGCAAATTAAAACACACACACACACACACACACACACACACACACACACACACACACACACACAGATATGGGCTCTGCCCTGAAGAATGCTTACAATCAAATGACAGAGATAATAATAATTCCCATTTCTGTAACCATTTGAGGTTTAAAAAAAACATTTTGCTCACAAAAGTCCTCTAACTAGTACAGAGAGTATTATCCCCATTTTGTAGGTGAGGAAATTGAGGCTCACACATGATAAGTGGTTTGCCCATAGTCACACACTAAGTGAAAGCTAGCATGTGAGCTCAGATCTCCTGAATCTCGGTCCAGCGTGTTTTCCATTTTAGCACACTCCCAAGGTAACTAACCAATCAACAGAATCATAGGAGTACAAAAAGTACCAAATCAAGTTGTTTGTTGTATATAGGGGCAACAGGAGCAAAGACTTGGCAGTGAAAGGTGAGTTTTATTTTGTGTCAAGATAGGTAGTGAAATAAGAAATCCACCCTTGCCGGAATGATGCTGGAGAGGAGTAGGAGAAGAGCATACAGGAACAGTAAGGGTAAAGGGTGAGGGACTTTGAAGACAGCAGTCCAAAGTTTCTAAATGATCAGGAAGGCAATGAAAAGCCACCACAGAGAGAGCAGAGAGCAGTCTGACAATAAGAGCCATTGGAAAATAGCATCAGTTACAGAGTATGAAATGTTTTGGAGTGGAAAGAGGGGAGGGA